AGATAAAATATTCTGGCCATTTTGTATCAGACAGACCTCCACATTTCTATGACTGAGGAAAAGGGTCTTAGAAAAGGTGTGATGCATCCTTCCTTACCACAGACCAGGTATAACAAGAAAAGATCAATCCCCAGAACTTCAGCCCTTATCTGCAGGGGTGGCAGCTGTGGAGAAAGGTGTAGCTACTCTCATTTTAGAAGTTGCAGCCACACTTACGATGTAGCTGCCAGTCTGCAGCTGGTGCTAACAAGGAGACTGCAATGTGGTGGTAATACTTCATGTCTGGTTATGGCCAACAGCTGCCCTAATCAACAATCATGTCAACTGATACATATAGATACAGATATATAAAAAGTTATTTAAGCCAATTAGGTCCAGTGGAAGTCAAGAGTGACTTAATCCTGAAGCATGTTGTTGAGACAAGCTCCACTAAGGAGCTACACTCACCAGTTGGACTGAGCAGGACCTGGGTGTGTGATTGCTGTCAGTGACTGTACGGACTGTACTGCCTGAGCTCACATTAGAGGGAAAAGAAAGACATAGTACACTCTGAGGGAGCTCTGTCACTATTTACTCCTCTTTCTTATTAGACTTCCCACTGGCAGCATTAGTAGGGTTTGATGCAGCTGAGGACAGCTGAATAGACACCCTGATACTGGGTGGCTGCCCAGAATCTAAGAAAATGTCACATTTTACAGTGAAGGAGGTTCAAGTAAGTGGTGTAAAACCTAGAGAAACCCTTAATCCCACAACAAAACAAATGGAAGGAGCAAGTGTGAGTAAGAGCCAATAGGACCAAGGACCACGTACAAAAAATTTCCGTTCCACAAACATGTTTCTTTCTGTGGTTTAAGGGCATAAAGACAGGAATGAATGAAAAATGCCATGAAAGCTTAACATCTGTCTTTCCTGATGAACTTATAATGCATTAATTAGTTTTGGACAGTAAACCTACAGAAAATGTTTTCTCATGAGGTTTGTACTTTTATGTCAACAGTTTACTATTTTCAAGACACAAACAACTTTGATAAGGATTTGCAGAAATTCTTATTTGTAATGTGCTTATTTTAATTCAAGGTTTAGTAGCAAGAAAAATATAAGTATCTTTATCAAAGCAAGTAGTTCAGGCCAGAGTGACGCTTAATCCTAATATCAAATGTAGTCAAGAAAAGTCTTTAGAAAAACAAGTTTATGTTTGTCCTTTTTCATGGAGAGTTTTCCTAAAGCTATGCATTGGCACTGTCAGTGATAAGAGAGGATAATACTTTATGGCATGTAAAAAACTTTGAGTCAGCAGTGCCCTTGCAGCCAGAGACATTTATTTCTGTGGAACTTCTACAGAACTCAGCATATTGAGTTGTACTAGTAGCAAAGATGGTACACAGCCTTCACCCTCTCCTTTCTACCATAAGGAACCACCGCCATTAAGGACACAACTTATGTGCACTGAACACTAAGATGAAAAGTGGCATAGCACCTCCAACTGAAATGTATAGAGAGAAGAGGCTAGCAAATGTAGATGCTACAGGTCCTAGGATAAAACAGGAATTAATGTAAGCACTGTGACATTAGAACTGAACTAAAAATTACTCATTGAGGTGGCATTGAGCCACTCTCAACATTCACCTATTTCTCCTTCAAATTTAATTAGGAGGAATTTCTAAAGAAAATAGATCCCACTAGACCACTTTCTTGAAACATGTAGATGCTGTCTTAAAAAATCAGCTAATTGGGAAATTTTGGTTATTTGGTTATAACCTTTTTCTACTTTAAAACTCAGGCAAGCAGAAAATAATGCTCTACAACTGATTCCTATTTAAAGGAAATACATCAATTTCCAAAATCTTCATCTTCTCAGGATGACATGACCAAAGTGCATCAAGCTATTTCAAGGTACACATCTTGCAGCATTAGCTGCATTGTTGAAAGAAAAAGCCTCTTAGTAAAGGCAGATTCAGACCCTGGGGAGAGCTCCATAGAACTGCTGAGTCAAAGCATGTTTGATTTGCTCTTTTTGCTAGCAGACAGACTTTCAGCACAAATCCACTCTCTCTGAATTCTTGGCTACATATTACACGCATAGGTGCTAGGTGCTAATAGATAAAATTACGGATACTGATTTTTTTAAATAGAAAATCTTAATTGTTGCATTGCCTAGAGAATTTTTCACAGTTGAATAGATATATGCTGACTTAGATATGGTTTCTAGAGGTACAATTATTTATCTATATCTGTAGTTAAAAAGGAGAAACAGCAGTCATATTTTCAGGCAAAAAATTATTTTAATATTAAAAAAATCATCCCAACACATTTTAAACCAAAGTCCTTTATCCAAACCTAAAATGTATCTGTAGATTCATTGTCCTGACTGCAGTGCCATTTCTAGATCAAGTCTTGAAGCTGATGTGATGTGATTTGAAGTTGGACTTGACCTGTTCTCCATGCATTTGAATAGGCATCACTGCTTAGAGAGGCACATTTATTACAGAGAAAAGCACCTTCAGCCCCAAAAGGACTTAAAAGCCCCTGCTCTCTCTGCCTGTAACTTTCAGAAAGACATAGATACCTGCACATAGCCACGCTTTCTTTTCTGCAGCATTGGTAATTGACAGTTTTCTTTAACTTTTCTCACATTCAGAAGCAAGCTGTGCAATTACTATAAAAATTGAAGCCAGGGCTGATCAAAATTAATTATGAGCTGTGAGATGGGAGTAATGAAAAAAAGGAAGAACAGCAGAACAGCAACTGAGCTTATGACATTAAAAATACAAATAACAGGCAAATCTATGTCTCATCCTGACAAGTGAGGCACTCAGCATATCTGTCATTCCTTTCATCATGCAGATTACTTCTCAGTAGCTCTCAACACATAATACTGCAATCCTTTCCTTCTACCAAATTTCTGCAAGAGCTGTCAAGTCTTTGTAAAACTTCTAGATAAAACTGGTTAGAAAATCATATTTCATAATTAATCTATTTAGGAACTCCATAGCTTTAAAATATTTTCTTGCCTCATTTTACAGTGACTTTTCTCTTTTTAATTAGCATGAAGCCTAGTTACTTTTTACCAGGAGACAAAAAGTGCCAAACATAACAGATCTAGGAGAGTGGAAAACAAACAGGTGGGAAAATTAATAATAAGTACTCATATTTACACTTGCTATAAAAGAAGTCTTTGTGTTAGAGGAAGAGAGATAATACATGGCATGCCATCTGGTTTGCCTGGAGATGGGACAATGAAATTTTCAGACCACAGCTGGTCCTAGACAAGATATTATCAACTCAGTGCTAGAATAGAATCAGCCCATGGACAATGAAAAACAGGACAAAGCAAGAAAGTGCTTCATCTGGCAGGGCCTGAAAGCAGTGCCACTGGCAGTCACATCTGCAGGTTCAGATGGGAGATTGGTGTACTCCTTGATTTCCTGTTTTTGTTAAAGGAGGATCTATGAATTAACACTTTCAGCTACCGCCTGCTAGGAGGTGTCTGATGCTGTTGAACAGAGCTGTAGTCACAAATGTGTAATAGCAAGTACTTATACTATGTTTCCAGCTTGTAAAACATGGGCAAAACATCCCTTTGTCATAACTCACGGAGAGCAAAGGTTCCTTCCTCTTGAAGTATCAGACTCCACTCAGGTACAGTCAATTATCCAAAGATGGTTACTCAATCTATACTACTCATGCAAGCTTATAGATTCTCTCAAAAATGGAAGGAGTTGCTCATACATATGCTTCGTTAGAGTCATACAGATAACTTGATGGAGAAATTGTGGGACACAGTCTGGAGCTGGCCCTTTCCCCTGGAGGACTTTAAATGACTTCATCCCTGGTGCTTACATGGAAAATGTTAGTCAACCCAAGATCCCATTTCACTGCAGCAGAGTCAAGCTAAGTTTTTCAGTTAATATTTGAAGAGTGATAAATGACCAATCTCATCTTATACAGACCAAGAAAAACACCAGGTGTGGAGAGGGAAAGTGTTCCATGGGTTCGGTGACACCTTCTACCACAATGATAAGTAGAAGAGTATGAAAGAGAGAAAATTATTTTTCTTGGATGTTTTAATGCTGGGCAATAATTTCTGTTAAAAACAGGCATCATGGCATCATTACATTTTAAGTGTGAAACCTGATTCTGAGCTTGTCTGTCCTGAAAGAAGTACACACTAGAACATATCTTAAAATAAATTTTAAAAAGCCAAATAAATATACTGGACAAACCACACAACTCCAAACAAAATCCTCTTTCAAACTCAGTTGTCCCGTGGGAACTACATGCGAGAGAGCATGTGGAGCACACATGACAAATGTTATTCATATCACTCAGAAAACTGCTGAGAAGGTTTTGGATATTAAAATAATTCATAAAGGAAAAAAAATCACTGAGGGAAACTCTGTCTGTCCTTTTAAGTTAGCTTTACTTTAAAAAGATTTAAATTTTCTGGATGCTGACTGACTTGTGTGATTAAAATGATATCTCCACTTTTATGAAGACATCTGTACATTCACATAACACCAGGTAATACAAATTCCATCCACTCTAGGGGTTCTGCTATTCTGATAAAGTTCACTCATTTTAACACTTGATTCACAGGATGGACAGAACAATGTATATCCAGCTACAGATAAAAAAATTAAATTCAAAACTGACGTTCCAACATGGTATCTCATTTTTTTCCATAAAGTATGGTAACACTTTCTGGTATATTAGCAGTTAATCTCCACATTAGCATGTTTCTGGTTTTAGTAGTATCAATAATGTACATGAACTGAAATTACAGAAAACACAATGGTTACAATTAATTATATGCAAAACATTTTAAAATATTTATTGTCTTTCCTGACCGAGAAAAAACCCGCCACCATGTATTCAGGTATAGGAATGCTTGAGCATTTAACTGGAAGTCTTCCAAAACAATTTACACTATCACAGCAGATAAGTGATATCATACATACTCTCTAAGTATTTATTTAATATAAATTCCAATTTTTACTTACCAATCCTGCACAGCATTGAAAGAGTCTTCATTTGTGATGTCATACATTAAAATGAAGCCCATTGCACCCCGGTAGTAAGCTGTGGTAATTGTTCTGTACCTCTCCTGGCCTGCTGTGTCCTGAAACAATAACAAAATTTTTACATTGCACATAAATTGACAACTTTTTTTTTTCTTTTACAGAAAAGCAAGAGTTATTGTACAACTCTGTAATCCTGAGAATAAGTAGAAATAGGAGAACTCTGCACTGGATCATAACAGGAGGGACATATCAACTCTATTATAAAGGGAGAGTGGAGAGCAGCAGAAAGGCATGGCCCCCTGTCAGCCCAAATACTCTGAATCATTAGTGATTCACTTTATTCACCCTGAGAGCTGGGTAAGAACTTTCTCTTCTGATCAGCTGAACAAAACTTAGCTGAACAAAATAGCATACTTAGGACCTTCATTACAGAAAAGGATGGTTCCCAAAGCCAGGAAATATCTGGAACAAAAAGGCAATGTCTAATTGCTCTGTTCTTGTAATTTTAATCCACAGGTACTCATGTCAGTGAGCACCAATACAGCTTTTTGCTGACCAAAAAAAAAAGAAAAAGGACTGTATGGCAGTGCTCCTAAAACAACGATGATATCTGGCAAAAAAAAAACGAACATTTGCTATCAGTCCCTTACCTCAACCCAGTTTTCTCCCTCATCTTAATCAACTGTCTTTACAGCAAGAAATGTAGAAATATAATTCTTATTTCCTACTCCTTGCTTTCCTTATTTCCATTAAAAAATTTCCAAGGTAGCAACTAGCTTTTAATATATTTAATGCAATATCCAGAATAGTGTTCAGTCTAGAGAAAAGAAGGCTGGCAGCAGGTCTCATTAATGCTTTTATTAATATAATACAAATATTTCAAGACAGGCGGCAAGAAGATGTGACCAGACACTTTTCAGTGGTGCCCAGTGACAGGACAAGGAACAATGGCCATAAATAAACTAAGCATGAAAAGTTTCACCTCAGCTTGATGAAGAACTTCTTTACATTGAGGGTGGCACTGGAACAGGCTGCCCAGGGTGGTTGTGGAGTCTCCCTCCCTCAGGAGATGCTCACCCCCACCTGGATGTGTTCCTGTGTCACCTGCTCTGGGTGACCCCACACTGGCACAGGCGTTGCACAGGATGATCTCCAGGGGTCTTTCCCAGCACTAAGTATTCTGTTTCTGTAATACAACCACCTATGTCTGCACTAAAATTGAGACATAACAGCAATAATTGAAATTTAGGAAATGCATAACTATTTCATGTTCCAACCTATCTATTTAATATTTTAGGCCATAAATATTAATAGCATTACAGGAGACATATTTCAGTGCAATCCTGTAATTAACAGATCGTCTGTGCACATTCAATTTTAACAAACTTTGAAAATTAATGTAATTATTTCCAATGTTTTTTCAATAGCTAGACAATTAAACAATTAAATCCATTTAATTTGTCTTCCTACAAAGAAGACCAATCAGTAACAAACATATTTGGTATGTTTTCTGAAATAGTTTCCAGTCTAGAAGTACTCCCTTGTGAACAAAAGAAAAATAGGTTAGGTAGGCCTCCATTTCTGCATATATATCATCTATTTCATAAACTAATAAATAATAAAAGGAGATTCTACATGCAACAGAAAGACTTTTAGATTAAAAAAAAAATCCAAGGTCATCACTGAAACTAACAACATTAGGTAGAATATATGATTCCTGTTCATCCTGGATTACAGTAACTGCTGCTTTGATGTAATTTTCAGTGATACAAGATGGAAAGCTAAAGTAGTAGTTAGACTTTAGCAGGTCTCACATGAAGTTAGGTTACATCTTTGAGGGAAAGGCTAGACAGATCTAAACTGTATCTGTTTATGCTCTGAACAGCCTGAGCCTCTACCAGCTGTGGTCTGGAGCTTGGATAGCTGCTCCCAGATGTTCTGGTGTTCCTGAATATAAAGATGTGCACTAAACCTGTGCATATTTCATTTATGAAAAAAGCTTTTTTTCCCCACTTTTTTTTGTTTGTTGGTTTGTTGTTTGGGTTTGTGGGGTTTTTTGTTGTTGTTGGTTTCATTTATTTGACTTTTTTTTATTAGAGAAAACATCTGGGATGCACAGAAGCAAAATATGGCCCACAGCAAGCATTCAGCCCGTCCAGGAGAGGATTTTCAAATTTTATCAGTGTCTATCTGCTTGCTTTTTAGTTAGAGACATGTTTGATTAGAATGTATGCTAGTATGAAAAGCAGGAGGCCACTCTTACCAAGGACAATTTTATTTTTGCTCTGGGTGGTTTCCACTGAAGCCCACCTGCAGATAAGAGTGAAAAGCCCTAGCAATAAAGTCATTAGTCAATGATGCTTTCTGTCCCAGACACCAACTATTTTCTGTTTAGTGGCTGCAGATAAAGATCCAAACACATACTGACTTTGGGACAGAAGATCTTTGTCTAGACCCAAGTTTGTCAGTCTGGGGAGGAACCAGGTATTTGGACTTGTTCTCAAATTCTAATTCATAATTCTAAATTCATAGCTATTGCTATGTTAATAGGATGATAAAAAAAGATTTTCTAAAGTTATATTTCAGTATACCTGACATAGATGGATGACCATTAATAAAGGGAAGTACATTAGTTCCAAATACTGATAATCACATTCTTCTTTGTATTATATTATATTCACTTCCTATGGAGAAGCAATTAAAATTTTAATAGACCTAATGCAAAATTTATGCAGTAAAGTTTTTATGATCATGTAAGAAATGAACCCAAATATAAATAACCAATGTGTCAAAACATTCATGTCCCACACATTCATAAGCATGTTCTTTATATTCAGACAAGAATATCTTCATAACTGTTGTAAGGATAGGTCCTTTCATATGGTCATCAAGGAACTTAAATACCATTTGACAGGAGAGATAGCATATTATAAAAATAATAAACTTTAACATTAAATATTATATTTTACTACACTAATTTTGTTTATTTCAAACAGATAATATTATGTACATCTGTTTATTAGCTTTTATTCTTATGAAAGAATTAGGCAGAAAAGAATCGATGTCTAAATTTTATCATATTTCTAGTTGTACATCACAATGATTGTATCCTCAGGTACTGTTATATAGTTGAAGAAAACGTTTTCCAATTCAGGTAGGGCCACTGTCTGCTGCTATGTTTTCTTAGTCTATTTGGCAAGACCACAGAATTGGTCTAAGATGACTGTCGTCTTAGATTTAAATTCTAAAATATAACATCTCTACTTCCACTGACTGATGTTTATTTCTAAGCAAATGAAATAAAATAAGCCCGAAGAAGAATATTATTGACTGGCATTTTAAACAAGGCAGTTCATTTTTATCTTTGATGAGCAGAAAAAAAGACACATATATCATGTGAGGGACTTCTTCATTCATGTGGTTAATGTCTGGTAAAAACAGATGATTGTTCATTAAATGAGTGAAAATGCAGAGAGGAATGAATGAGGGAGAGGGAATGCTTTATGAAAACTACCACACACAAAAGACAAAAAAAATTATTTTAGGTATCTTAGACAAAACACACACACAAACACACACACAAACACACACACAAATCTTGGCAGCTACAAGAAATATTTTCAAATATTAGATTCACTTTCATAAATTCAATTTTTAATTCAGCTACAGTATTCCATTCACTTCTGGTTAGCTGATCCTATCTTTGTGGATCTTTTTAGTAGGGATCAGATTTTAATTAATAAATCACATTATTATAAGGTTTAGTGGTCACAGTACTTCAGAAATTGTCCATACAATTGTGCATTGTATACCGCACATTAGCTAATAGCCCACAGTCTTGATTATTTGGAAGACTCTGATACTTGCACAGATTTTCTTTTCATGTTTTGATGCCTCTAGTGTGCTTTGTTGGGCTTCTTTTCTTAATTGATTTTTTAATGTATAATAGAAATTAGTCATCTGCAAATATTTTTGTGCTCCAGATCCCAATATGTTTGATTTCATATTTAAAAAATTCATTGTGTTTTGTGAGTGATTCAATAGCTAAAAGGACCAGTAAAAGTCTTGAACTGGGCACATATATCTGTAGAAGGGAAAGAAGAACGGTTGAGGTATAGATTGAATGTAAAATATCTGGTTCTGCCTCTTAATGAAGATAGCAATCTGGTATGCTTTTGGCCAACTCTCCTTTCATTCTTCCTGATCATATATGTATCAAATATGATAGGCAGACAAATAATTCCATATTACCTTAGCTCTTCATTTGAGTTAAACTGAAAGCTGGGGAATTTGACATACAATAAAACAATAAGCAAAGATCTGTTGTTTATACAGTAACTACATGAATCAATGTTTGTCCTGTGCTCCTCTCTTTAATAATGCCATGATTCTGATGGTTACTGTGGAACTGCTATATAATTGGAGGCTTTATTGTATGGGGAATGCACCAGCTGCTGACAACAATGTTCCCAGAGGAATGGAGAGATATCATGCAATAGCCATCTGTGAAAGTAGAAGCACTTGAGGAGAGGAAGCTGGCTGACTCAAGAGGAAATCATATGTTTCACATGAAGTTAAGAGTTTAGGGTGCTGGAAAATCTCAAAATACAAACGAAGGTTCTGATAGTAATCCTGGATATTGTATATCTTACTTGGAAAGTACAGCTATCTAGCTCAACAGAAGTAAACCCCTCCTACTGTCAAGTGCTGCTAAGCTAGACTTCGTCAAGAATGTTCCATACCAGCTTAGACTACCCCAGTGTTTTTGCAATGGGTTAAATCAGACACTTGAATTCATCTGCTGTGTGCTCTCCCTCTCACCCTCACCTAGCACTGCACCACTGACAGAAGCAATACTTTATGCAAATAACTTGCAAGGGGAGTTGCTCATTATTAACATTGGCAGTTCTGAAGGTGGAAACAAACAGCATTTGGCAGCAAGAACTTTTAATGAGCCTGTCATAAGAGTTCAGCCTGCAAAACACAAATTTATTTTTTAGCATGCTTAAGTGATTCTGTGCTTCTGCATTTCTGTTCTGTATGCCAAACATACAAATATCTTATTTAGATCCCCTTTCTCACTACGAGTTTTATTCAT